GGGGGCGGGGGCGTCTAGGGGCGGCAGGGCGCCCGCGCTGCTGGGGGCCGCGGCGGTGGTGCGGGCGAAAAAAAACCTGGGGTTTCCCGGGGCGGGTGGCTTTGCCTGGGCTGGGGAGTTGGGCGCGGGGAGGGAGGGAGGACCTCGGAAACACTTCCCATAACGGTGGCTAAATTAGACCAGGGTTTGTTTTTGTTTTTGTTTTTGTTTTTTTTCCTTTGAAGAGCAGCGTTTCTTCGTGTGGGCCCGGAATTCTTGCGCTCTTTGCAGCCTCTTCATGTATGCCTTGCAAAGTAACGAGCAACAACAGGTTGCTTTTCCTAGTTGCTTTCATCAGCAGGTGTTGATGAAACATTAGTTGTGCTGGGTATATTTCAGCCACACTACTTGCTGTTTTCAGAAACACAGTCTAGAGGTTTTTTGTATGGAATTACTTCATTTCAACAACTTCTTGGCTGCTTACCTCACCACTATAATTGTTTTCTTCCATTTAAAGAAACGTGTTTCCATGTTCTTATTTTGTTCTTCCTGTTTTAACATTCAATAAAACGTCTACTTAAAATACTGTTTACTCTAAGATGTGTTTAAAATCGTCACAGGTAGCTTACTGCTCAATAAGTCCACAGGTTGTTTTTTGGTTTTATCGATCCTTTTATATTTTACCTCACCACTATAATTGTTTTCTTCCATTTAAAGAAACGTGTTTCCATGTTCTTATTTTGTTCTTCCTGTTTTAACATTCAATAAAACGTCTACTTAAAATACTGTTTACTCTAAGATGTGTTTAAAATCGTCACAGGTAGCTTACTGCTCAATAAGTCCACAGGTTGTTTTTTGGTTTTATCGATCCTTTTATATTTTCTTATGTTTAGTGATTTCTCTAAACTCAGTATGTGTGGAAAAAAAAAAAAATGTTTGTGAAGCCAGTAAAAGGAGAAGAAAATGTCTTTGGAAGTATGGCATAAACTACAGTTGTCAGAAATCACAACCATATTTTATTAAGTTGGCAGGTTGGAAAGACACTTGCTACTGCTGAACACTGAGAGTTTTATCTTAAATTTTTCTAGCTACGCTTACTGTGTGTTGAATTCGTCGTATT